TTAGAATAGTGGATTAAGCCTAACTCAACCCTACAAAACCGGCTTTGTAAGGTGAGGGTTGTTTTCCACTTATATACTATTCAATTGCCTAATCTCTAGTCGATGTGGGACTTGGGTTTTTCCCAATACACCCCCTCACGTCCAACACTATCAGGCTTGGTACGTGGATAAATGGTGGGTGGCCCTTTTTAATGATCTAGGATTGGCGGGACTTGAGTTTTTCCCAATACACCCCCTCACACCTATGAGGCATGCATCAATGGTGGGTGCCCCATTTTTAAAGTAGATCTAAATGACTCTGATACCATCTTAGAATAATGGATTAAGCCTAACTCAACCCTACAAAACCGGCTTTGTAAGGTGAGGGTTGTTTTCCACTTATATACTATTCAATTGCCTAATCTCTAGTCGATGTGGGACTTGGGTTTTTCCCAATAACAACTCAATATATATTATATAATAAGAATAAGAATATAAAGCGTACAAGTTTTCTCAATTTTTTTAAAATAATAAGTTATTTAAAAGATTTAAAAATAATTTTTTAATAAAATTTTATTAGTGAAAGTGAAACTAAACTCAAATCTTTAAATAAAATCTTAATTTCAAATTGTTAACGTATAAATTATGATTAAGAAAGAAGATTTTACTAAAAGTGATAAATTAGATTCCCTATAAAAAATAGTTATCAACAAATATAATAATTTATAATTAAATAACAATATAATATTTTTTACCCACAACTACTGATGTATTTGTTTTATGCAAAACACGAATTCTAATGTTCCATACAATGAAAAAGATACCTTGCATAGTTTTTTTAATCAACAAAACTTGATGACATAGTCCAAGTTCCTACAAAGTGTGACATAAGCAAATTTTTATATTTTATGTAGTCCAAAGTTTGATTAGTTTTTAACTTTTTGTTAGAAAATATTGTTTAGAAAAATGTGAAAACTTTTACTATAAAATTGAAGCGACTAGGAAAAGTTTAACGAAGTTAACGGATTAAATTTCGCCGCAAAGATGGACCAGAGTCACAAGATGATGAGGGGAAAGGATCAAACACACAGAAGGAGCCATGAATAAAAGATCGGAAATTTTCATGCAAAAGCAAAGATTTAAGTAGTTTAACTATGCACTTAATATCTAATTTTTATAAGCTTTACTTTTATTTCACAAATTTTATTTAAATAAACAACAAATATTAAAAATAAAAAAGTATGATATATATATATATATTAAAAAAATATTTTTAATTATGGAGAATAAAAGTTTAAATTCATGGCACGATAAGGGCTAATTAAATATTTAAGTATTTATCAAGTTATTAGTTTAAATGAAATTAAACTAAATCACCATAAAGAGTATCTCCAATTTGAATATTGTGAATAAAAAAAAATTAAAGATGATCAATAAGAGAAATTAGTTCGTTGACAAAATTAGTAAATATTTTACACTAATAACAATATTATAAAATAATATTTTAATTATTTAACTGTCTTTTCTTTTTTATGTGAAAATCTATATTATTGTTGAATTTTAATTTAAATAAACTTACAATATAATATAAAAGTGTAATATCAAAAAAAGTTAAATTTAAGTTAAATATCACATGATTCAATGGTTGAATCAGTTAAATTTAAATTATCAAAAAAGTTATTAAAAATATAAGATTTGATATAAATGTTTAGACTTATACCTTGTGTCAACAGATGCTAACTATATATGTGTGTGTGTGAGAGAGAGAGAGAGAGAAATTCCCTTATTTTAAAAGTAAACTAAAATAAGTAAACTTACCTAAACTTAGTTCACTCAATATTTATGTTCTAAATCAAATTTTAATAATATAATCGTTGAATTAAAAGTTTTTAATACATATATCAAGTTTGTAAATTTTTTAAAAAAATTGAAAACTATTTAATACTCTATTTTATTAATTCAAATTGACGAATAAACATAAAAATATTTTATACATTGATTTAAATTAATTAAACAAAGTATTAAATAATTTTTAAAAATTTTAAAAATTTATAATCTTGATTTATACATTAAGAATTCAACAAAAGAATCATTAAAAATTGATTTAGAACATGAATAATGAGTGAAATAAGTTTAAATAAATTTATTTTTAAAATAAATAAATTTCTCCTCTTATTTATATATATATATATATCAAAATTATAATGACACTAAAGTTTAAACTTAAAAACCATATGCATATTACTCGGACTTCCTACTTCTAAGTCAACCCTAGTAATTATAATCATTTGTTTATATAACAAATTTATTAATTTTCATAACTATTTTAATTGACATTCGCGTGATTTATGATTGATTAATAGTGTAATTTTTTTACACTTATATATATATATATATATATGCACAAAGTTGACAAACTAAATCCAAATTGTGAAAATTGTTTACATAGTGCGTAATTATACAAGAACAACTGCAGTACTGCACTCATTGCTCTATGTTCACAAGCGGAAAACGTTAGAAGACACTCTACAGTTGGCAATGGCGATTGGCATGACAATTGCCCAGAGTAGGAAATAACTTGATGAATGAAAAATATTATAGCAATAAAGTAAATGTAATTCTGAAAATTTTGTTGAAAAAAGGCTTCAACAAATACGGTTCTCCCGTCATATACCATACAAGAAAAAAAAAACAAAACTACTGCTTTAAAAAGCCATAAAATGTGTCAAATTTGTAAGTATTCTAAATGGTAAATACTTTACCAAAGAAACAAAGAGCAGTTGTGAAAGCAAAACATGTGGAACACTATCAAGACAAAAATAGTTTACAATATTGTCAATAAAATACATAATAGTTGAATCTAAAATATGTCATCACGATGGAACTATAATTTCAACAGTTTGTATGGAACTTTACCCTTCGGGTGCTCAAGATGCCTATCTCATCAGCAAGGCTTCTAACCATTAAATAATTTAAATGGAGTATGAAAACAAGACGGTGAAAGTTTCAAGGGTATGATTTGAGGTGAAAAACTTGGCATGCTGGCTTGTATGCCTTCTTGGCTGAAGCCTGTTCAAACTTCTTTCCAGCAGTTTCATTTTCTTCTAAACTTGTCTGAAGGAAAAACCTTATCCACCAAGATGAGCTGCGCAATTTGGCCTTCATAAAAATAACATCAAAAAGGAGAAGCTGAATTAATGACATTATTTTGGGTAATACCTAACACTATTCAATTATAACTTCCCCTTGTTACCATGACATGTGCAATGTGCTTAGTTCTTTGTCAATATTTTTTCCGAGTTTTGCTACACACATTATTATTTGTCAAAAAAGCATCAAATTCAATAAAAGAACAGTCACTTACTGGACGACCAAATTTGGCTACTTCTCCACCTCTAGCTCTCTGCTGACCTGGATAACCTATTCACGAAAATGAGAAATCAGGAGAAAGAAATCACAAGCGAATTAATACTTAATTTTCTATCACATCCAACATGAGTTGTGGTCTTGTGGATGATAAAAGTAGAAGAGCATGATTTCTAGACAGTCCAGAACTGATGAAGATCATCAGTTTATCTTGACTGGAATTGCCTAGGTCTCGGAGAATATAGCCCTAAGCAGCCAAATACATATGCCCAAGAGAAAGCCAGTTTTATACCAAGTTCCAACGTGCAAAATCATAAACTGAAAGTATAGAAGCTTCAATGTACCTGAGAAGATAACAACACCATCAGCAGATACCCTCACCAACTCTGGCAGGGTTTTATTCAAGTATCTTGGAGATAAGTAATCCAATGCATCTGACACAATGACCAGAGAAAATGACTTTGCCCGATAGGGTAGAGGAAACTTTAAATCAGCCACACGCACAATGCCCTTGCGCACAAGACTTTTACACTTTGCACCAACATCATCTAACTCATACGGTTCTATTCCCCAAGCCTCAGTATCCTCTTCATTAAACAAACTAGATACCACAGAACAAGAGTCAGGGCCAACATGCAAAACCTTGTGCATGCTGTCTCCATATGCTTTCTTCAAAATGGGCAATGCCTGAAGGACTTCCAATGAGCATGATGCACCAGCTGCATATACACTAGAGCTGTTTGAACTTTGAAAAGCTAAAATGCTAAGAATTGTTTAAAATTTGAATCAACAGTTCTATATTATGTAAGAATATGTACGGACTTACATTACAAAAAAGATGTTAATAGTGTCAAACATACAAAATATGATGCAGTATCACCCAGTTCTCAGTAAGAGTATATACAACAGCCATACACAAAGATACAATATCATCAAGTAGCCAATTCTTTATCTGCTCATATTTTAGGACAATAGTAAGCCCCTATTTCTCTGCTGACCTGGATAACCTATTCACGAAAATGAGAAATCAGGAGAAAGAAATCACAAGCGAATTAATACTTAATTTTCTATCACATCCAACATGAGTTGTGGTCTTGTGGATGATAAAAGTAGAAGAGCATGATTTCTAGACAGTCCAGAACTGATGAAGATCATCAGTTTATCTTGACTGGAATTGCCTAGGTCTCGGAGAATATAGCCCTAAGCAGCCAAATACATATGCCCAAGAGAAAGCCAGTTTTATACCAAGTTCCAACGTGCAAAATCATAAACTGAAAGTATAGAAGCTTCAATGTACCTGAGAAGATAACAACACCATCAGCAGATACCCTCACCAACTCTGGCAGGGTTTTATTCAAGTATCTTGGAGATAAGTAATCCAATGCATCTGACACAATGACCAGAGAAAATGACTTTGCCCGATAGGGTAGAGGAAACTTTAAATCAGCCACACGCACAATGCCCTTGCGCACAAGACTTTTACACTTTGCACCAACATCATCTAACTCATACGGTTCTATTCCCCAAGCCTCAGTATCCTCTTCATTAAACAAACTAGATACCACAGAACAAGAGTCAGGGCCAACATGCAAAACCTTGTGCATGCTGTCTCCATATGCTTTCTTCAAAATGGGCAATGCCTGAAGGACTTCCAATGAGCATGATGCACCAGCTGCATATACACTAGAGCTGTTTGAACTTTGAAAAGCTAAAATGCTAAGAATTGTTTAAAATTTGAATCAACAGTTCTATATTATGTAAGAATATGTACGGACTTACATTACAAAAAAGATGTTAATAGTGTCAAACATACAAAATATGATGCAGTATCACCTAGTTCTCAGTAAGAGTATATACAACAGCCATACACAAAGATACAATATCATCAAGTAGCCAATTCTTTATCTGCTCATATTTTAGGACAATAGTAAGCCCCTATTTGGTTTCTGCATTTTCTGTTTTCAAAGCTGTACAGATAATATAAGCACAATCAATATAACTATTATAGTCAATGAGATTTGAAAGCAGGAGTAGAAAAAATTATTAGTTTCACAACACAGATTTTAAATGAATACAAATTTAAGGAACTGATAATTGAACATGTTCTGCAAAACCAAACACACCATAAACCTGCATAGTTATTAATAAATTGAAGATTTGAAGGGAAAATAATATGCATAATCCTATCTATACATGTTTGTCAACAATGATAATCATGTGTTCAAAAAGCAAAATGTGCATGCCAGTGGGAGACTTACCAATGAATTAAAAAATAAAAGAAGACACACATAGCTATTAACCAAATTTAAAGGTAATAAAACATTTTATTGATATTTTACCAAAGTTTAATATAAACAATCTCTTAAGCTGTCTTGCATGGGAAATCTTCTTTAGGCGTAACATTTTTAAATAACAAAAAAAAAAAGATAGTTTTATTTACCTTCAAGTTTGCTTACATCCTTGATATCATTGCTAGCTCCACCTGCCATGTGACCAAACAAATCAAAGTCCATATCAGTATCAATGGAATTTTATAGCAAGTGCAAGTTCACAAACAGAATGTCTTCATTGATAGTTTATGCAGTGATGTATGCCACATTCCTTTGTATTTTACATAAATAAATATTTTCTGGCTAAAGTTGACAAATTGAGAATGATTAAATGATCAATGACAGGTTGACTATGATCTATGAGGCTAGGACAATATGTATTGATCAAGCTGCCGATGACTAGTATTTGTTTGGTTTACCGTGAAGAATAACTTACATTAAAGATCTTTACTGCATTTTACAAGGTGACAGAGGAATCAACACATTTCCTGAATGAATCTGGCTAATTTACCAAATGTGGTGGATATAAATTAAAGAGAGAAATTAGCCAAGCTCCAAAGAGGATTTGTGTTCACTCTTCTAAACTGGACTACTGTGTGCCTTGCTTATAGGCAGTGTATAGTTAAAACAGAGGGACTTTAGCCACCTCAAAATGCTAAAGTTTACCAAGAATCTTTAAATCTTTTCTTTTAAAGTACGGCCTCACAAAGCTCTAGAATTTTCTGCCTCTAGCTCTGCTACTGCTTATGAGCATGTTATTTTATCACTCCTCATGGTATAGCCTGAGGCCACAGTTGGTATACATATACATACATTTGTATTCCTGATTTTTCTTCAGTTAAAATGTTACATTGACCATATTCATTTTGGGTACTCCACTGTGCTGTTCGGCTGTTCCCTGCCCATAGGATTCTTCTCTTAATGAACAAAAGTCTGGATTCAAACTTTAAAAACTCATGGAAGTTGTAAAGTATTTAGCCATTTAGGTCTAAAAGATCGTATCCAAAGTCAAAAGTTCACTCTGGTTGGTATTTGAAACAACATTTGGAGGGTGACAAATTCAAAATCCTTTTTTGCTTTGATTGAAGATTCTTTCTTTATGAGGATTCCAGAATTCAAGTGAAGAGATTAGTTACAAAATACGAACCTGAACTGCTGTAACAATAACCAATGAGGAGGATTGCACCCTGAAAATTTGTAAATTTCAATTTATTAAACACAATATTAGCAGCAAGCAGTGACGTGTATACTGGACAAAGTAAATTGAGAAAACTGTATATTGAGTTAGGAACAAGGGGAAGAACATGTTGAAAATATCACAAATGCAGGATCTGCTTGGTGCACACATGGTACATCAAACAGACAGTAAGAAATATTGCACACATTAAATCAAATGATATCAGACTATTTCCGTATTGATCTACATAATTCAAAGAAAACATACCACGATAACAAGCCCAATAGATAGTAGGGGAGAGTTTTGAGATTTAGACTGGATAGATGCCACAAACGGTAAACTTCCACCATCAGCTAACCGCCGTGCAGGATTTACTGGCCTCCTTGACATGATAATGGCAATGTATGAGCCTTCAGCCCTATCACAAGTTTCGGCAACATGCTAAGTTGTGGTGTTTCAAATAAATAAAATGATTTCTGGTGCCTAAGCTGTATGACTGTAATGTAAGTGTCTTCTGCCAAAGTTGTCTTTCAAGAGATAAATTTCTCTTAAAGGCAAGGCTGCCCATTTAACATTTGTTGAGAAGTAAATAAAAAGAACAGCTTAACAACTGCTGCACATAGCATGGTCGGTTGTTCATACAAGACACTACATTCTATACTTTGAAGTAGGAACCAGAATCCTGTGCTATTTATAAGAATATTCAAATTAAGTCAAAAACTGTTCTTTCAAGAGTTTCAAGTTCAACCAAGAGAATTAGCATAAGAAAAAAGTATATTTTTATTAATAAGAAGAAAACTAAGGAAAGAATAGTCTACAAGCTCAAGTACAAATACACAACATCTGCTTCAAAAGTCGGCATAAAAACAATGGATCCAAAGGAAATACACACCAAAAAAGGGGGCTAACCTATAATCGAGTAGAAAGAGGAAACAGATCGAATTGAATAAGTGATAATATAGCTCTGAAGTAAGTAAAGCAAGAATTAAATGCAATGGTTTAGTACATGAGAAGCAAATTGGGGAAAGCACGGAGAATAGGAGTTACCTTAGCTAAGAATGGTGATGAGAATGAAAGAAAGATCCCTTCAGTCACCACTCAGATCTGTGCAGTGTGCTCTTGCTCTGAGCTGTGACTGATGAGAGAGACGCGCATAGCGGTGGATTTCGATTTGGATTCATGCATTAATATATTCTCTCTCTTTCTCTTTCTTTCTTTCTTTCTTTCTTTTTTTTTTTTCTTTTTTTTTTTTTTTTTTTCTTTTTTTTTTTTTTTTTTTCTTTTTTTTTTTTTTTTTTTCTTTTTTTTTTTTTTTTTTTCTTTTTTTTTTTTCATTTTATTTTTCTTCTCATTATTTTTTCCACTATTATTAGTTATCACTACCGTGTTGGAGCGGTTACTTGTGCACTCGCTCACTGAGTTGGTTGACACGCACCGGCGTATGTTAGTTTCAGGGTAACCTATTCAAGCTATCATGCACCGCGGTAACGGTGGTACGAGGTATTCAGGAAAACATTTTACTTCTATTCAAGTTTTGTTACTCTGCTCGGAATTAATTTGTTGTTTTTACTTTTTAGGCAATGCTCATTCAGTTACTTTCATTAATTTTAAAAACGAGTAATTACTTTTTAAATTTAAGCTATCTCAAATTAATATTTATTATTATTTTCACTGAACGTGAATATTCACCACATGTTATACTCAAAAAATAAATTTTGATATATTCTTTGGGATATATTCACTCGCTAGTTATGTTTGATTAGAAACATTGGCATACATAATACATCTAAAAAGAAATTATATTATTACGACATCATTTTTAATGTTGGGATTATCTAGTATTTAGTGTATATATTGCTATTAACAACTTAACAATTTTTAGTGGTTTCTTCTTGATCATGTATTTTTTCTTGAAATATTATTTATGAAGATCAAGTTTAATTCTACTTATACAAATAATTTGTTGATTATTAAAATATTGGTTTGATAAAATATGTTTTGCTTTTATGAAATATCATATAAATATATAATTTTAATATTTTTGTTTTATTTTGTAATTTTGTTTTTGTAATTTTCAAATATGTCATATTTAATATAAGTTGTTGATCTTATTAACTTAGTGTTGATAAATTTAACGAGTTATATACGCCAGCAATGTATTATGTATATGTGAATATTTGAACAACGTGACAAGTATTGTAATTTGTATGTCATTTTAAGGATTTTTTTTTATCCTTGCAAAATTTTTAACATTTGATTTTAGATCTCTTAAAATTCAAAATAAAATTTAATCCTCATAAAATTCAGAGTTTGATTTTAGTATAATTGAAAAAATGATTCACCTCAACCTGCTTTTAACTTGTCTTAAGTGGGGTAAGGTAGATTAACTCAACAGTGAAAGTGGTTTGAAAACACACATTCCACTCATTAATTAGAAGTGACTTGAGAAGTTAACCCGCAAAAAATTTGCCAGAAAATAGAGAAATTCATGTTTCATCTATCTTTGTTTTAGAGGCATATAAGAAGAACTATAACTTTTTTTATTCTTAAATAAGAAATTCAAATAATTTAATAATATAGTTTAAATAAAAAAATATTAATTAATGGTTTAAATTTTATACAAATCAGTGGATATGATTATTTATTTGCTAGCTAGTGAGCACGTAAACTACTTGGGTTGAGATTGTTTGAGTTTAATCAATTTTTATTTTTATTTTATTTTTAAGTATATTTATATTAAATATTTAGAGATAGTTTTGTTACATACTGCAATTTTATCGGTTTGAGTAGAATTATCTTTCATGAAAGATATGTAATCATGTTAATATGCATGTGATTTGTAAAATAAGATTTTTTTTTCGGCTAAATATTTTTTTAGTCTTTACATTTTTTATTTACTTTATTTTTAGTTTCTATAATTTGAAATAAAATTTTTACTCATTATATTTATTTTTTTAATCTTTTTTTATCCTATAATAATTAAAATAGATTTTTTAATCTATATATTTGTAATTTTTTAGACATTTTACTCTTTATCGATATATTATTTTTGTAACATATATTTTTTTATGTTGATGTTATTGAGGTATTAATTCAATTTTATATATTTAATATCAAATTTATTTTGTTAAAGTTATTTTAAATTGTTTTTTAATATTTTTTATCTTTTTTATATTTTTACTTGTAACATTTATTATTGAGACACATTTTTTTATTATCACAAAATTAAAGATCTATATTATGTCAACACAAATCACATAACTTTACAAAAAAACTTAATGATAAAAACTAAAATAATTAAAAAAATTACAAGCATAAGAATTAAAAATGATTGAAAAAGATACTTATAAAGACTAAAATAATTTATTTTAAACTATAAAGACTAAAAAGTAATGAAAATGAAATATAAAGAAAAAAATATTTTAACCATTTTTCTATTAATAAATAGGGTTGACTAATTAACTAGGTCTATATATATATATATATAATAAAAATAAAAATAAAACTAAAAAGTTAGTTGAAAGCTGAAATTAATAGAAAGAGAGAGAAAAAAAAACTAGTGTAAGACAATGTTGTATTAATTTGAAGAGCATTATGTTGAGAATGAATAAGAAAAGCAAGAAATTTAACGACGAAAAATAAAAATTAGTATTGCTCGTAGCAAGATGAACAATAAGAAGAGCGGGAGCTAATAAAGAATATATGTAATGTCGTATAGAAACCAAAAAAATTGGTCTTAAAAATCAATTAGTTTCTCATATATTAATGTACAATACATCATGAGTTATAACGGGTCAAGAATGCTTGAGCTTTAAACAATAAGTTTCTTACGTATATTTGTAAAATTCTCAATGAACTTTACCTACAAATAAAATAAATTACCAAATAAACAAATCACCTAAAAAGACAAGGATATTACAAAATAGTCAACAAGAGTAATGTAATTTCATGTCATCCTCTGAAAAAAAAAATTATTTTTGAATTTTTAATTAAACACAATCATAGAGTTCCGAATTCAAGTGGCTTTCGGATTTAAGACAGAATAGGTAAAGAAAGACATTAAAGTTAAACACACAGAGAACAAAAATAGAAGTCCTACCTTTGCGTCACTAAGGGAAAAAAATTGACTCTTCAAAATTGGAAGGGTCATCCAACAAAATACATTACTTAAAAGGGTTAAATAAGCTGCAGCAAATACTCTGTTTTGTTGTATTATACGTCATATGTGTGTATATAAAGAAAAATTAACTTATGTTATTATTAGTTATCCTAACTTTTACACTATTTAATATTTTTATTAAATAACTTTATTTCAAAATTTATTACTGGATTACACTTTTTCATCATACAAATTATACTTATCAAATCTTATATTAATCCAAAACTATTTAATACTCTATAAATATATTTTAAAGTTGAGATAATATATATTTTTAAAATTTATAAAAATAATAATCATTTGATTATGTTTTTATAATTGTTTAATTTTGGTAAAAAATTTGAAATTTTAATTACGATAAATATGGTTATAGTTCAATGATTAAATAAATAAAAACACATTTTATATGTTTAATATATATTTCAATTAAAGATTCAAATATAAAGGATAAAAAACTAAATAATATTTTAATAGATAAAAAACCAAAATAAATTATAAAATAAAATAAAATAACAAAAATATAATTTAACTTTTTTTTTAAAAAGAGGAAGTTAAGTTCTCGATAATGAAGTTCAATTACCGACGTTAATGGTTAAAATTGTAATAAGATACAACTATGTATAACAAAATTTAAAAGTTATTAAAAATAAAAATGAAATTCATTTAAATTTTATTTTTGTGTTAAAAAATTTGTATGATAAAAAACATAGCGACACTAGTAACCGCACAGAACATTTTGCTTGTCCGCAATGCTTACTAATTACTATGTGTGTATTTGCTATATATAGAAATACACATTTCAATTATTTAATTGAGTAAAAAAAAGTGAATATACTTGTTTGTTATAAAAAAATGAATTTAAATTAGTATGAATGATTAAAATTAATATATATATATATATATATATATGTGTGTGTGTTATATGAAAATTTTGTTTAATAATTTCTTATCATAGAAAAATGAACATAATGATTATAAATTATCAAATTTTATTTGAATAAAGAATATTAAGAGGTAACTTATTTATTTTAAGTAACCATATAATCAGTAATAAACTTTTAATTTTTATTCTAAGAATTAAATCTACAATTTTCGTGTTGTTAATTGAATAACAAATGTTGTGATCATGTTTAAATGTCCCTATACATGTATGTATATGGACAAGATGGATAAATGGAACCTGGTTATGAATATTTCTTGTCCGGCCAAAGCAACCTTAATAGGTAAAATTATAGATTTATAGCGGATTTCATTTGTGAATTGTGACTTTAATTAACTTTATAATCCTTATATTTATAAATATATACGGTGATTCAAATGTAACTATAAATGTAACATAAGTTGTCAATTAAATAATTTTATTAAAGAAGTAGAATCGAGTTACATCATTTCTAACATAATTTTTACTCGTTAGACTCCTCTAACTTAACCATGTCTTACATCCATGTAAACATAATCATCGTAATCCAAACATAAAAAAATATGTAAGGGTAAACTAGTGAACAATAGAATAATTATACAAGTATAGAAGTAATACAACTATACAACAAACACCAACATGTAAACTGCACAACCTACACCTTATGGTCTACAACTTAACATCACAACCAAATACCTCAACAAGTCATTCAACACCCAAAAGGTAATTAACAATATAAGATAATTTCATATTTCACCACATCAATGTCACTTCAACAATAAAATCAATAAAGCATATGAACAACACCACAACTAATACATAATATGCAAAGTGCCTCAACTACACGCATTGTTACGTATTTACTTACGAAGATCTTTTACAACAAAAATGAATAGTCTAAGTGACTTGACGTTATCAAGCCAATATAATCTTTTTACACTTGCTAGATCATAAAAACAAATAGGGATACCAATCCCAGACAATATAATTTCGTAGATGTCACCACTTAATCTATGAAATCTAATATTATTGTCAAGGTAGAAGTACTTAGGTATGATCTTACCATGACATTAACCTACAAAACTAAGCTCCTTATGAGATTAGTTCATCAACTACCCTCTAAATACTACACCCTTCCAGAACTTAGTTAGGGACTCATCAATCTTGTGTCTTACTCGATTAGTCACTTTATACATGTATGCTTCAACTTTACCTCCATACAAATCAACATTAGTCACTTATAGCCGATATGTCTCGACCTAGCCCACATACCACATCAATTAAGGTCCTAAAGGAAACTTAAATATCCATTTCAAGAGTTAACTACTTAATAAGGGGTTTCAATAATTAGACTCGTAGAGCATCGCACCAATATCCTCACAATGAAATATCCAACTTTCAGAAACACCCTCTCCTTTGGTCTTAAGTTGATCAACATAACATGCTTAAATGCCCAAAACATTCTCATCATTAATTAATGTCTCAATAGTTCAATAATTAACCAACATATCATGCTTAAATGCCTAAAGCATTCTCAACATTAACATCTCACTAGTTTAACAATCAAACATATCATGCCTAAATGCCTAAAACATTCTCAGCATTACACCTTAACAATTCCATAATTATTCATCTACATGCATCATCCTAAATCAATGAATATAGAAGTAACAACATCAAACAACACACAACATGCAATAAATTCATCTAATTTATTCATGTTCACCATTTCATCCACTAGACAACAAGTTTTTACAAGGTAATCCACACCCGATGCCATACATATTGCGTTCGACACCATTGAGACAAGAAGCTCTCTATCTCACTTACACACGACGCCATTCAACCCGAGCCCAATGTGGATGAGATTAAAGATTCCCGAGGAACATCATGCTTGGCATGGCTAAACCCACGCTCAACCCCATTTCAAGCAAAAATAATTCTCTCTCTTCATGTATAGTGTCACTCTATTGGCACTCAAGATCATTATGAAGAGCACTTTGTCTTGGGCACCTCATAACTTGGGATCTAGCATCACCAAGTCAGAGGTGATTCTTTCACTTCACGTTTGACATGATCAAGTTATAGACTTTTCTTTCTCCTCACGCTTAGTATCACCAATCTTACACCTAACATGTGTGAGAAAGAAGACCCCCTAATTTGAGCCATGCCCAATGCTATGAAGGCATGCCTGATGCGATGATAAGTTTTACACTTAGCAGATTCTTAAATTGGCTTGAAACCACGTGAAACTCAGACAATACAAACATGCAACAATATCTTACGTGTATATATATATATATATATATATATATATATAT